TATATATATATATATATATATATATATATATATATATATTCATCACCCACTTCCTTAGCAAAGCGTATACAAGAGGTTAATTCATGAAAAATAACATCATACAGATGAAGTGCTGGTGTTGCAAGATTTCCGCCCAAAGTTCTCTTGTATTTGTTTTAAGCTCGGAATCTAAACCTAGATAGACAACTCTACAAGCATATTGCTATTCCGCTGCAATTTAAGTCTAGATGCTGGACAAACAATTTCAAAGAATAAGAAAAAAAGACTTCAACCATAAGATAAGATACACGCAAGAACAGGAGCACCAAGGAGAATCAACCAACCCCAAAGTTTGTGCAAATGTTTCAAGGTATTTATAGAAAGATTATATTCTTTATGATTCAAATGAATTAAACCATCCGCTCAATCCATTCAAAAATTGACGTCTGTCACCCATTACAACGAGAACATCAATCAAAAGCGAACCAAACCCAAACTCACTGAATCTAGAGCGATGAGAACCTAAGGTACTTCAAGAAAAACCACAAACGGAACAATAAGAGGCGGAATCAAAAGAGCAACTCACGATTCCATTCAAAGTGTAGGTGGTCAGAGTGACCTTCTGGTCGGTCTGGTAGTCTTTGTAAAGAAGATCTGCATCCAAAACAAATCAAAGAAATCAGCAAAAAAAATGCAGAAAAAAGAAAGAAATGGGATTGAAAGGAACCACGAATTCCTTAGACGACGAGTACCTCTCGCCTTTTTGCCGATATCGGAGTACAATCCTGGACCCATCGCTTCCTCGCCCCCAAATCGAACCAAAAGGAGGAGAGAAGCTCTCGATCTCTGTCGAGTGTGAGGTGAGAGGGGCAACGGAAATTGTTCTGCGCTTTTCCTCTCCTCGTCTTGGGGAACAAAACATGGCTAATCTTGACCGTCCGATGACAGCGGTTGTTGGATGGATCTCTGATCGCAGCGTTCGATCGTCTTTGAACGGTTGTGATCGAAGTTCTATGATTAGGTAGCAAAAAAGCGGTGTGGTGTCGGGAGTTTGCCACATGGCGTTGCAAGCGATAGAACACGTGGTTATTTATGAGTTCTTTTTTTTAATTTGAAAATATCAGGAAAGTAATTTTCTATTTCTTTAACATTTTCCAAAAATATAAAACCTAAATTTCGTTGTGAAATTATCATATTTGGAATTAATATTAACTTCTACTATTAAAACCATCAACTATTCTAATGAATTATATAGAGAACTCGAAGGATGTTGGTTATATGATCCCGAGAGTGCTAACAATGTAGAAATATAGGAATATTAATTCTTTAGTCGAAGTTAATTTAATTATTCTGATATGACCGAGAGAGTGTTAAGATAATTTCGAGAGTTTGAGTCATATATAATCTAAAAATTTAAGTTTTTTAATTGAATTTACATCTAACCTAATATATGTCGATCTTGATTATCTTGACTCAAATTAATTATTATTTTTATATTTTTGGCACGCTTGAGATGATCTTAAATATTTAAGATCATCTCAAGCGTGCCAGAAATATAAGAATAACATATATTAAGTTAGAGGATCACTCAATATCTTTAGGTTATAGATAAAGTTTGATATCTAAAACTCAATTCTTTTTACCTTTTATATTATGGATCAAACTTGGTATATATAATTTGATTCTTTTGATCTTTATGGATGTGGGATTATTAATATTATTTTTTTCAATCTCTTAATGAGCCATGATGATTTGATTTCTAATGTGTTTGCTTGAAAGTACTACAAACGATGAAGGCAAAGAAAGTCATCAGATACAGGAAAGATCAATTTCTGCTTGATGGATCATGGAGAACTGTGGTGTGATGAGAAGGAAGTCAACTCCAGGGAAGAACCTGATACTGCTCGGGGATGCTGGAGTTGATTGTGATGGAAGCAGAGAAGGTGGAAAGACAACTCGAAATCCCTCTGTTCCTGCTGGATTGAAAGAATGATGGTTGACTTAAACCATGGAAGAAGTACATATATGGTTGACTTGTTTACAGACGTGTGATGGAGTCAACTCCAGAATGAAATCTGGTAGTGTTACGAGATGCTGGAGTCTCTGCTGTGGTGGATGTATAGAAATTTCTTTCTGCAGTTATGGACTGTAACTCTTTTCTTTGGACTCACAAAGATAGACTAGAAATCTGAGTCAGAAAACACTATATGGCAAAGTTGGGAGGATTGCACGTTCTTTCTATTTAAATGTATCTTGGCCAGAAACACACACAAAAAGAAATACTCATTAGAAATATTTGATATATACAGTAAATGAAAATAAATAAGGGGCACTTTAAATTATACTACATGAATACACAGCATAGCAACCATCACATGTATAAAGGTAGTATAAACATACAGTTCACTCGGATCCTAATAGTTTAGGCTTCATCAACCAGTACTGCTGAAACCTCTGCCTTGCATACTCCATGTACTCAAAGTCGATCTCATTAACATGTTCCTGCAGGTGAACCCGATTTATTGTTAACGTCTCACCCAGTCAGTGTCCGACAACAGCAAACATAATAAAAGATGGAAGCCTACCGATATAACTCCCCATAGACCCCAAAGGAGATGACTGGCAAGAGCATATTTCTCAATAGCCTGCAGCATTTTCTCAACCTCCGTATCTTTCAATGGTTCACCTACAGCAATGGCAATTATTTATATGAGTATACAAGATGGGATGCGTGAAACAATAATAATAATATGTCAAAAGATGACAATTCATTTATGTTATATAAATTTGTGGATGACTTTAGCTGCTCAATATAATAAGGATGCTGACATTTTTGCGTTCAATGAATTTACACTTTCCCAGATACACCAAAGTATCAAATGATTGACATTGTAGAATTGCATCATTTTTCATTAAGTTTCCCTAAGATCACAAAGGAGTTGACAAGATAATAGTCATCTCTAACGAGGTTCCAAGAAATGAACATCTAGAACACAGCTCAGCAATTATGTAAAACTAGATGCTTATCCATCATGTCCACTGCCCCCATGATATGCCACCAGCTCAACTAAATGCTGACTTCAAACAAAATGACCAATGGATGATGGCTAGTGTTATTTTACTCAGACCCTTCGATTCAACTTCGCCACAACTAAGAATGTCATAATTTTTTCAATTTATATTGAATGTCTAGGAATTATACAAATGTTCCTATTCACTCATCGATGAATTTTCTGACTGATCAGGATTGACAGAAATTCATGTCCATTAAAGTATGATTTTGAATACGGAAGGTCAGTAGAGAGTTGTATTATCTTGATTCCAGACAGATTACCTGAAGTTGTTAGATATATCTGAATAAATCTTTTGCGCTCCTCCACATCTGTTGCCAAATAATAATATTATTGAAGTTGGAGTACTACATGCTAGAAATTTTTATAATGTACTAAGAAATATCTTAACAATCACCAACCTGGGTACTTATTGAAATCCAAAATGTGAGGCGTTTCCGTATGATAATTAGCAGCCATCTCGCAAAAATGATTGGCAAGATCATATACGACGGGGTTAAAACTTGCATACTCATAGTCCTGCAACAAAAAGAGGAATGAGAAAGATGATCTGGAATAAGTCAAATTCTGGGAATGCCTGCTTCAGGTATGCAGTAAAGAGCCAACAAAGATCATGGTTCATAATGCCAAAAAATTTGGAGCAGCCCTGAAAATGCACCGCTGTGCCACTGAAGTCAAAATTAAAGTGCAAATGGACTAATAAAGCCAGATCACATCATCATATGAAAGCCGAGCTTCTATACCTTTTTATACAAATGCAAAAAATTTGAACAGCCAGTGAGACATATAAAATGCCAAAGACTTCAAATAACCAATGAATACTTCTAAATTCCCTTCCGACAACTACTATTCTCTATGACTGAAACAAAACTGAAACAAAATGCAAGGAGCAAACCACTATTTCAACCTAAACTGCTATGCTCTATGACTGCTTATAAATGTAGGAGTAATTTTTCATCGCTTATACCCTCTTAGCTCATGTAATCTTGTGTGACATCCTTCTACATAGGATCAAAATGTCCCTGGAGATACAACCATTTAGCAGAGGATTCCCGAATGTACTCATCATAATCTCAAAACACCATCAAGATCAGGTTAAACTTACAATGATAGTCACTTGTCTAGACTCCTCATCCATCATGATATTGCCATATTGAAGATCATTGTGGCAAAAGCCAGTACTCTGATCTTCTGTTGACAATATGTTTTCCAGAGTAGCTATTTCCTCATAAAGTGTATCCAACCGAAATTCTTTAACTTCTTCGGAGGGGCATAATATGAGGGCTTGTCCAAGCCAATTTCTGACAGCAACATAAGTAATATGAGCTATAACTTGAATGTCCAAACTATAGTTTGAAGATCATTAAGTAATTAACATATACCTTAATCTTTCCCATAAGAAAACCATTCTTGGACCAGGCATGTCAAGATTATGGAACTCCTTCAACTTTGATGCTATGAGGGCAGATACTTCAGGGTCACGAAGGTCAGCGGCGGAGAGAGTCTGAAATACCAAAAGCAGCGGAACAAGTATTACTACAGAAAATTTATGCTTGTGTGACCTGTCCATTATGGCTAATGTGCTGAACTCATATTCTGGAAAACAAAAAATTGAAAAAAATGTGGATAATTTTTCCAGTTCTGAAAATGGTACGAGTACTACAGCTGGGTCTGTAGTCTCATTGAGCTTCTAAATATGGGACAATCAGATCTTGCATTATATTGACAATCCACTGGACTTGCAGGCATAAAGAACCCAACTGTGTCGTTTTCATATCTTACAAAAAGGGATACATGATGGAGCATAGGATTTGGGACAGCATCTAGATATAAGGTATATAGCACAATCCACAAGCAAATAATGGAACTAATAGAAAAAGGAACACCGAATCGATGCTACCAGGTAAGCAGTAGATGCTTCCAAATTTCTCCAGGCAGCATTAAAGCACATTCCCTCAAGGAAAATAAAAGATCTAATTCATTAATTTCATGAAAAAAAAAAACAGCTTCATACAATTGTACTTCTAAGATATTCATCTTTGTTGGTCTACAACAAACTTGGGCGATATATCTCAGCAGCCATCAAATGAAAGAAGAAGGACCTAATAAATAATGATGTGCGGAATAAGATTTAAATGCTACCAGAAAACCTTTAGCAGAACAGAGATTATCAATTAAAACGATGCGGCATTTCATAAACAACGACAACGATAGGTTTGGAGGTGAAAAGAAGGGGACTTTTTAGTGGAATAGAGACATACGCGAGCATTGATGAACTCCTCGACTCGGCCGGTGGCGAAACGCCCAAGAAGCAGCGGCCCTTGGCCGTGCCGCGACATGCACTCGAACGTCCGGATCTCAGCCTCCCGATCGAAGAAGACGTCCACCCCCTCGCCATATATCCGAACCAGCACCTTCCGCGAGACGCCGTCCTTGGACAAGGTGGGCCAGTTGACCTGGTACACCTCGTTCGTCATCGCCCCCTTGAGGTGCACCACCTCCAACGCCTCGGAATCCGCAACGTCGCCCCATTCCGACGCCAAATCGTAGAGAATCCTCTTGGCCTCCTTGGGGATCCGTTCCGCGGCCTCCATTGGCTCAGCGGTCTCGGTGACTACCATCTTCCCCAAATAGCCACGAAAACACTAGAGGGAAATGAAGAAACAACCCGACTCTTTGGCTACAACCCGAAAGGATCCAAAAGTTCCGTCAGAAAGATTGAAGTTTTGACTAATACCCGAAAGAATCCAAAATTCTATCGCAAAGCAAATCGAAAGTGCATTAAAAATCGAATCTTTTGGGGTTTTCGAGTGAAAAA